CTAGCGAACTCTACATCTGAAATTTACTATATACTTTTGAATTAAAATCATAAAATTTGTAATTTCACTACTTTGCTTCAATCACTAAAACAATGAAATTTAATTTCGTTTAAAAATTTAAATTTTCAAAATCTAGGTTTAATTCTGCCTAAGACTCAATTTTGCCTGACAAAGATACATAACGAGATTTTTCCTCTGTTTTATATTCATGATAATAAAACTATTTTAAACAATGATGATTAACTCGAATTAAAGCAGAACTTCGATCATCTTATACCTTATCACTAAAGAACATTATAACCAGATTTAAACCTTTTTAATCAATCAACTTTTTATTTTTAGGTTAAATCACTTAGAAATCAATCTCTATCAACTCGAATTTATAGTTTTTATTACCATATAACAAAATAAAACTGATAAAAAAAACAGAAGAAAAATTCTTATTATTAGTTTTTTTTGTTTTACTATTAATAAATGAAGACCCAATAAGCATGGAATAGGATAGTAATATTGTCAAAGCTACCCTAGAATTACTCTTTTATAAATGGTGCATAGACTAGGACGGAGAGTAATAATAGAAAAAAATGGCATAATACTGTTTAGACGATGATTGATCTTCGATTTTCAATAAATTATTTTAATTGTTCGAACTATTGTCCACCAATGTCACCATCAATAAGACGATGATCACATACTAATCTTACATTGAGAATAGTTTATTCAAGAAAAATATTAAATAATCAATAAATAAAATTACGATTGATTAATCAACAAAAAACAATTCTATACCATTTTGACCAATTTTCAGCAGTTACACTTTTTCTCTCAATACCACCAACAGACAATAATCGATCAATAGATATATATAAAAGCAAAAAAAACAAACTCTTTCTTACTTTTATTTGTTTTAACCTTTTAAAAATTTCTTTTATTTAAACATACTTGTTGAGAATGAATTCTACCCTTTTTTAGTTTTTATAGGAAAATTTCCTAAATTAGATTTTGTAAATCTTCCCATCTCAACATTAATTTAACCATAGAACAAAGAAAAAAAAAATTTCATTTATTTACTTCTAGTTGATTATCGCTCGATTTTCCATTCTTTGCTTTTTTTTACACAATTCGGATATTTTGTTTTTAATAACCGACAGATCTTACAAAAAAAACGAATACTTACTTTATTATGAAATAAATAATAAAAAATATGTATTTTCATCAGCATTGTAAATAACAGATATCATTAAAAGAGCAGCATCATCATCATTAACCATTCCTAGATTAATATTAACTCTTTTCAATCTATTATAAATATTTAAAATAAAATAAAAATCTTTACTGTCGAATAGATTTATCCATCCAAATATAATTTATGTTCAGGTCGTTTTTGACATGGAAATAAAGTTGCTTTTATAATAAAATCATTTATTCTGATAGAATGTCATTTTCCTTTTCAATCCTTTTATTGTCATGTTAACATATGATTAAGTTTTTGACTTAATCGAAAATAAAAATAAGAAATTATTTAAAAAATATTCATTTTTAATATTAAATAACATAGTTAACTATTTCATCTAATCCAACCAACGTTCAATAGTTAAATAATAATGAGATCTTATTGTCTTTTATTCAGTTACATGACGAGTTCATTTATATGAAAACAAAATTAAATATTTAACAAATTGAAATATTTTTCTATAAGTTATTTACTGATCGGAATTCTGACATTTCTTCTTCCCTATAACTACCAACACGTCCTGCTCAATCTTTGTCTTTTTTAACTTGTAGTTTAGTGTTAGCGGCACCTTCGTTTTATAAATTTGTCCATATGTTTATCAATAAATTGATGATGAGGATGATTATCTTGAATCGACTAAAGAATAAGGATAAAATATAAGTTTAGATTTTGATAAAATAAACAAATTATTTATTTCGATAAAGATCTATGCCGTTTTCTAGACGAATTTCGAAGAGGAAAAGGTGATGGTGCAACTCGACCATCTTAACTAATACAACGTCTTATCGATTATTGTTCTTGTTGTTTTTTCTTTTTTTCTGCATTTTATACTACTTGTTGTTGTTGTTCAGTCGTTTCTATCGGAATCATCTTTTTTCGTTGATTCTTTATCTTTTTTATCAATTTTTCCTCTTCGAGAAATTTCTTCATCTGATTTATTCTTTAGTAGTGTTTCACTACCATCATCTTTATAATCTTTAAATGCAACTCCATCATCTTCTTCTGTTTTCAATAATAATAGTAGATTGTTAAATATATCAATTATTCAATGTATAGATAAGAACAGATTCAATAACTTTTTATTTACTTATCCAACAGGCAGCTCTTTAGTACAATCATGTGTAACAGTTTTTAGAACATATCTTTGATAACTTGTTTTGAATCGTAATGTTGCTTTATCAGTTTCAATTTCAGCCAATATACGTACATATTATCATTAAAAGCCATCGATGAATACTGAAAAGGTCAAAACCTTTTAAGCGTTCTGTTTATTATGTATAAATTTATTAGAAAAATAACATCAAAATAAATGAAATTATTCTAATAACATTGAAACAAAAATTCTTTTGAATATAGGTATCAACACCAAGTTGATTTAAACTTTTCTTTAAAAAACAAAATTGGATACATTGCATAAATCAAAATATAAAATCATTTGTAAATTGTTTATTACGTAGTATGAGTTATCGTCATTCAAAAAAGTATTATAATGTTGCTAAAATCTATTCTGTTTAAATTTGTATAACAAAAGCAAAAACCAAAGTTTTTCCGATTACCGATGAATAACACTTAATTATTGCTTAATGCTTCATAATAAACATCAATCTAGACTATTATTCTGAATTTTCAAATATTTCTTATGAAACAAATCCATTTGCTCAATAACATAGAATAAAATACTTTCATTTGCATAGATGGATGCATGATTATCTGATATTCAAGAAACATAAATTCATGAAGGGTAATCAAACGACTATTGTACTGCACGAGTTGTAGATCATAATCAGCATAGAAAGTTGTCCTTTTTTTTTTCTAAGCTAATGCAACTTGTTTAATTTAAATTGCCAGATATCATAAAGAAACGTTCTAAATATCTAATCAGAAGTGAGAACAACATTCAAACAGTTCATTAATGCACATAAAAAAAAAACATTTTCTCCATATGATTGTGCAAAATTAAAAAATATAAATCGCAATAAAAAATAGATCGGATACTTTTTGATTGATTGTATGTTATAAAAACAAATAAAAAAGGTATTAAACAACAGTAAAAATCTCAATGTTATTTTACTTGATGATTTATCGAGCATACATAAAAACAATGTATGTACTTTTTAGTAACAAAAAATATCTTTTCGAAAAACGCTAAGCAAAAATTGAATTTCTTTTCCTCGCCGGACTTCTTCTCATTAATCACTATATAGTAGTATAGATTAGCATCTTCTTCTAAGATATCTTTCAAAGTCTTAATAGCAGAGAGCAGTAGATTTTGGCCCATAAAAACGTTGACCTGTAGCTTTCTACTCAACAGTTTTTAATGACAAAAAATCGGGGTTAAACATTTATAATTACTATTACAATCAATTTCATCTCATCATAGAGATTGAAAAGAAAAAGTAGCTACCCGTTCTATTCTAAAACGGATGAAAAAAAAAAAGAGAAATCAAGCAATCAATCATAGACATTCAATACAAAAGATAAAAACAAAATAACGGAAACAAATTTGTTAGAGCACTTTTCATCAAGCATTAAATATTTCGAGTAAAAGATTTGTTCTTAATGTTATTTATTGCTTTCAAGTTTATTTTGCAAAAGAAAATAGAATCTTTGAACCATTTAGTATTTTAAGGATATTTCAAAAGCTATTTTTTACACAAGATAACATTTAAAGGAATAAAAACTTTTCTTACAAGAAAATCATCTTCGTAACAACAAATGTATTTATCTAATTAATATTTTTATTTTGTTAACTTGAAAAATACTGTTCTTTATATTCAAAATATTTTTTCATAGATTATTTAATTACGAATATTATTAGTATCATTGGTAAAAAATCATTAGAAAAGCTTGACGGTTTAAACAAACTTCAACAAATTACAGTACTGATAAAAAACTCTCTTTTGTGGATGATCAACGAAAAAAATGAAAAAAAAAACTGGCTTAGTTAAACTGTGATCAAGTAAACATACAAATTCTGTTTGGTTTATAAATTTTAAATGAGTAATAATTTTTTCGACTTAAGTGCATGACTCCATTTTTTTCGAGTCAAAGTAAATAATCATTGTGAAATGACAAAGTATTGTTAAAAATTTGTAATGTATTATACAACTAATGGAATTCTTTTCTCATAAGTTTGTTTGTTTGTTTTTAAGAGATTCTCTTATTGATAAACTTTTCAAACTGATTTCCATTTCGTGTTTCTCATCTATGATGATCATCAGTTACGAGATGGCAAGCATGAAAGCTTCGTATTTCAAACATCTGACTTTAAATAAAAATGAAATATTCAGTTTTGTTTTTTGATCGATTGTAGTATCATAAATAAGAATTACAAAGTTTCTATCATTGAAATTATTTGAAAACATTCATTCTAAATTGTTTTTCTTTTGTATCTGTTACAATTTTAAACACGCAATCGAACATAAGAAAATAATCCGTAAAATGTTGATTATAATCGTAAATTTTATATTTTATTACTGATTAGTATTTGTTGAATTTTTATGTATATGCCAATATTTTTTTATGTATGATGACTTTAAATAATTTTGAGTTTTATTATTAATTTTATTTTAATTAAAAAAATTCTATTAGACTCTTGACTTTTATAATAAGAGTATCAAAAGTATTCAAAAACTTCACATCATAAATCTAATATACTAGAAATAAAATCTCTTATCAGAAAAAAAAAAAAATACTACACAGAATTTCTCATGTATACTATTATTTGCTTGTAAATTATTTACAAACGGTATGTTAAATGTGTTTGTTATAATACAGCAAATAAATATACACTTTTAAATCTCTCAATAAGAAAAATTAGATAATTAACTAAATTATGTTTTTGTCCAATTGCTGATGGTTTTTTAAATGTTGAATCAAGATTATAATAAATTCCATTAATACTTTTAATTGTAAACCAATGTTCACTATTTAAATTTATCAATAAACCAAAATAAGAATCCCATGGAAGATTTTGAAGTGGTTCATTGGTAAAAAAATTTATTTGTTGAACAGCATGTCCACGTTGCTTAATAGCTTCTATTAATATACGTAAATCATAATCACCTATCCATAATCTTCCATAATCATTGTTTTCATGTCTTTTGTCGAATTGATGCACAATATTATCGAGATATTCATGAGTGAATAAATGTGGAATTTGAAATAGATTATTTAATGCATGAACACCACATCGAAGATATTCTTGTCTTTCATGATAAATAGGCTAAAATAACATGAACTTTTTTATTTTACATTTATCTCCAGTAATAACAAACGACAGACATTATTAAGGATTAGCATTTTTTCGATAGAGGAAATTTTTTTTTCTAACAGAACATCAGAAAATTGTTAAGCTTCATCAGGGAAAATTGAGTATTAATGTAATCCAAGGAGAGAATGTCATATTTCAAATTCACGAATTGTTTCAAAATTCTTACCCCAGTTTTAGTATTTTCTCTTGGTTGTTGTTGAAATTGTTGGGGCTGTTGAAATTGTTGAGGTTGTTGATTATGTTGTCCCTCTGACCTATATTTTCTTGCTGATTCGTCTGCATCACCATAATGATGTAGAAGTTGAGCATAATAAAGATCATTATCTTCAACTACTTGTTGTTTTCGATTGTTGTTTGCATTGAATTTATCTAAATCGTAATTAATAAAACTGTCAGTATAATCCTTGTGAAATTCAAATGTGAAACATGATGAAGTTATTCAATATTGCAAATGAAAGAATTTATATTAACATATGTTTCGGTTTATAGACTACTACCTGCTGTTAATGTATGTCAATGATAACAAGTTTACTTGTACTATGTTGCAGACAGTGAGAAAGAAGAATAAAGAACAAGAATCTTCAATTTAGTCATATTTCACATGAATGCCGAAGTAATTTTCGGTTTCGCGTATAATTACATGTCTCACGGTGCACAGGAAAGGGAGAGGAAGTGTCAATAATATTACGGTGTCTGTCATGGTCTGCCGAAAGAAGAAAACGAGTTCAAATGTTTACTGTCATATGTTGATACTTCTTTTCAATTGTATTTTATAATATGATGTATTTATGAACAAATAAGTTTTGTTTTCTACATTCTTACTTGAATTTTGAGTAGGTGTTGGTTGAGATCGATTTTTTTCGATTTTTTCATTTGAATTTTGATTGAATTTATTCTTCAATTCTTTTCCATTGTAAAAATCATCTAAAATATCCTATTCGAAAAATAATGAAAAAATTAAAAAAAAAAAAAAAAAACATTAAAATATTTTATTTTACCTGAAGTTTCCAATTACTTTGCTGAAGAAAATAAATACAATCTTCAATATTGAATCCTGTGACATTCTAAGAGATTTTAAAAATAACAGTTAAACTTAGTTTTATTGAAAACAACAACTATTTACATGAAGAAATTCAACCATAGTATCTCGTGATTGTGTAGAAGACGAAGTTGACTGTGCCGCCGACATTTTCTTTTCTGAGTGACTGTTGTAAACCAGTTCGGTAAAAAAGAAAAAGGTAAAAAGAAAAAAATAATAACAACAAGGAAGAAAAAACTAAGATCAACAAGAATCCTTTTTTCATTCTGTTTCTTAACTATATACTCATACCCACGAGTATTTTACTTGTAGAAGAATACGAAGAAAAGACTTTTTTTTTAAATAAAAAAAAAATAAAATAAAAGAGTTCTATTCATCTATTTTATCTCATATATTAATCAAATATTTATTATTTTTGATTTTATAGAAAACAAAAAAATTCTGAAATCATGATTGCCTCAATATTTATACATTCCTTTCAATTTATTTGATGAACCAACTTGTAGTAAAAAGCATGAAAAAAATATCTTCAATACCTAACATAACAACGAGCAGTTCTATGAGAATACAAAGAACATCGAATAATACAAAATCATATATTTTTAAAATTGAACTTCGTAATACGAGAGTAATAAGTTAAATTAAATGTAAAATAAAACAATGAATATATGTTTATTTTACTCAATACAATATAGAAATTACATTTTGCTGCATAAAGAAAATTAATATTTCTTTTCTTGTCAAAAATAGCAAATATCTATCAATCAACAGATCATTACCATTCTTACCATCGTTAGCTACTTTCTTTTTATGCTTGTCGACTGTCAAATAGATATAATTCTGATGATAGTTATACTAATTCAATTCTTGAAGTTTGTTATAGAATAGTACGATAGTTACGTAGTGTTTTGTTTTTTTCTTTGAACTTGTTACATCGATGAATTGAATATCATATGTGTATTTCGACTATTTGTAACGTTCGATGAATACATAGCATGAAAAAACGTCATTGTCTATGAGAAGAAACATATTTAAGGAATTCATTAGTGTTAATTAAAAATGAAAACTCATTATGAGTAAAAATACTTTGATGAACTAGAATCATCAATCTATATCAATGTTTAACCATTTGGAGAAGAGAAACGTATATATACGTTTTGAGTTTTTGCACAAATTCTAATTTGTACGATCATCTGTCTTCATTAGATCATAATAGTATCTTCGCCTTTCGACATGTACTAGTTAGTGTCATACAGCATTATAGTGCGGTACTATTCTATTTATGTCATGGAGAAACAAGAGAATTTTTGTAGTCGAAAGTACTCGAGAATCTGTGAAATATCTACACTCAAAATCTTTTTGAATAACATAAAGTCAACAGAATCTCGTAAAATCGTGTAGAATCCCAGAGCCATTATTGTTCGATGGTCGTAAGACTTTTACTAAAACTCTAGTGCTACAGATCATTAGATATTAGATATTAGATATATGAGATCTGTATTATGATATAGGATCCCAAGGTTCTCTATGGAACGACCTTCAGACTTCTATTGGATTCAGTGCAATGCTACTTGACTGTGCAATCTCCGAATCTCATGGAATTTGATGATTCTTCACGAAATCGGCTAAGTTTTTTTTTCACACGTACGTCCCATTTCAAGAGTATTGTGGAAAAAAAACACAATTTTTGCATCTTATCAAAAAGAATGTTACCAAATAAATAGCTAAAACTATGAACCAGCAACATAATTTGAGAGATAATAAAAGACAAAGAGCAAAAGGATTATATTTGATCAAGTTACATCTCTCAATTATTCATATTTCAGATAGAAAAGAAAAAAAAATGAATCGTTTTCATTTATGATATCTAATGATTCATGTTAACTATTTATAACATTGCATTAATTGCCAGTATCTATCTAAACTTACTATAAAGAGTTTCTAACAAAATCTTTCGTACATCCTCAGGTGAATGTAGTATTGTCGGTTTCGATAGTAGAATTCCGTATAATAAATAGTACCAACTTAGAGTAAGAGCTCAATAGCCGGATTCTTCCACGTCCAATTGAAACCACCGATTAACAAGTAGAGTCAGTTATCAGATCTGATCATCAAATTCCTAATATTTTTCAGAATTTTTCCTGCTAGAAAACGTATTTTTTCCGTACGTCCTTGCCAGAAATCTAAGAATTCCGATATGTGTATCATTGACTTGAGCAGATAGATTATCTTTTATGATTGACTTTATAAATATATATCCACATTATTGTCAATCATAGTATCAAACTAATCAATTTTTCAAAAGGAGCCCATATGAATTTTACACTATCAAATTCAGCAGTAATACCATCAATTAAAATTATGTAACGTTAGTATTTTGTGATACACACATGCATAGGAATTTTTTTTTAATAAAAATTTTCATATTAGTATAACGTTGTTTGGTGATGTACTGAAAATTATCATGATGTTTTTATATAAATGATGCGTTATGATACAAATATCTCACATAAATTAGTCATAATATCACATAAAAGAAAAAAATTCGAAAAAAAAACAAACATTACACAAATACGATATAAAATAATTAAAGAAAAGATTGTTCGATACCTTAGTAGAAAAAGTCTTATATATCATGAAATGTAAAGTATGCCATTTAATAAGAGATTGTCATAGAACATGAAAAAAAAAATAATTGTAAAATAAAATATTGATCTCAGTTGAACAATAAAAAAATAAAATCTATTTGGCTTTTTCATTTAACCAAAAAAAACAATAGATACGTCTACAAAAACTACCTAGTAGTATGGTAATGAACGCAGTACGAAGCTTCATCATCAAAAGACTCTATAGATTTAAGTCAATTTAACATCTTTTGTATACTTAGTTTTTTAACATTGAATCTGAAAAAAATATTGTTCTAAGAAGCTAACAAGAAGAATGAAATAGCAAAATCTGCACAGTTCGGACAAGATGTGTTTTTCGAAGAAGACAATATTTATCCAGTTTTTTTTAATTTTTTTCCACTTGAATAGAACTTTTCAATTCTACTTGAATTTTGAAATGCTTTTATCTTACACATAAGATATTTTCCATTTTCATCTTGATCTACTATAGTTGCTTGCTAATGTATAGATCTTAACAATAAATTGTTACATAAACATAATTATACTTGCACATTCCAAGTGAGTAACTCAATATATCAATAGAGTCAAAGAGAGAAAGAAGTAACATTAACTATTTAATAGTGCATCTAATATTCTGTCTGACCTCGTTCCTTCAATCTTTTCTAATTCTTCATTTCTACTCGAGCGTACACTCAACTGAAAATTATTTTGAACAGTGTTATATTACACTCAACAACACCGACTTTGTTGATGAAGAAAAAGTGAAATCATGCGTGACTTTTTGCTTTTCTCTATAACTTACCAAGATACTTTAATAGGAGCTTTTTTTTTTTTTTGTTCTCTTCTCTAAGCAACTTGTTTCTTAGTTAGAAATAATGAACGATGAGTAGGTAGAAAAATCTGAATTAACACACCAAATGTCTTGTAGATATAAAATATAGTAAATAACGTACGGTCGCACTCACGTAAATGATTGTTACATATCAATCACCAGCTTTGCCATCTGTTATCAGTGATGTATAATATCGAAAGAATCATTGTTCCATTCGATAATAATGTTGAAGGATATGCACTAGTACATTCATTTGTTTCATTACCATTTCAATATAGTACTTGATCATTGTCAGTATCGTAGCATTTTTTCTTAATTCCCACAGGTAGATAAAATAGAGAAAGTATTGTGCCTATACATCAATGATTGTAACTATCACTAGATCTCATGTATAAATCAATTCAACAAGGAATACTCCAAGTTATGTTCAAACTTCTAGATCATATTAGAAGAAATAATGAGTATCATAAGTAACTCTGACAGCAAATGAGAAGATATGATTCATTCATAATATTGATTATATCTGAACGTTAACTAACAGTTATACCAAGATCTGTAGAATAAGAGGCAATTGATGATACCATATATTCCATTCAATTAATAACAACATTAAACACATTGTAGTATTGCATAGCTTTGCAAATAAGCACTAAAATTCGAATAAAACTTTGATGATTAATAAGCAAACATTGAGTTATTACAAAAACAAAAATGTTATATAATTATCAATATATGTTTAAATCTAAAATAAATGATATAATCGATTCAGATTTATTTACAGACTTACTAATAATTGTGTACCATCTTCGAAATGCATTATATTAATACTCGTATGAATAGTGACATATACAATAAAACATCAAAAATATAACATTCTTCCGCATTTTTGTTGTTGTTTTGATCAATGATTGATAGATTGATTGAGCTAATCAGTGATGTTATTACACTTTCATATTGATGTTTGAATGAGGTGAGTAAAGCATTTTCTTATTCTCGATATACACTTAATAACTGAATTCTGATCGCTCAATTAATTTTTATCAACTTTCACAATAGCACATTTGCTTTTCTCGTTCTCATATGTCATATTCTTAACGAGAAAAGAACATTAAAAATATTGAAAAAAATTTTGTTCTAAATCATCAACTATTACGCCATTTACACAACAGAATTATGATTAATTCCATGTGCTGCTGTTGCACCAATTCATTGTTTTATCCTACTGAGTCTAATATTGCATAATATATAAAACTTAACTACAGTTTAATTTTCAAATTTAAATGAAATGACTAAATTTATAATTCATCACTCTTATGTGCTAATCGGTACAAAATGATGTCATACATTCTAACTAGCTATGATTATTAGCCACTTTATTTTCATACTCTTGTTATTACTTATGGCATAAAGACGATAGGATGAAAAAAACATTTCAATGAAACATAGAAGAGTAATTGAGAAATTATATGTTTATCGTTAAAAAGAGAAGTGAGATCAATTTCAAAATAATAATAAGTTTATGGTACATATATAATTAAAATATTTGAAGAAAAAAAAACATCTTTTGTCACCTTTTCTTTTTCATTAAACAGTTTCCTTTGCATATATTGAGTTTTAATGGAATTTTTTTTTTTGGATGCGTTACTAATTATATGTACTTTTCTGGAAATAGGATCATGCAAAGAAAAGGA